ACACACATACACACACACACCTTCCCCTTGGTCCGTTGTTACAATATTTTGAAGTTAAACCCTAATTCAATTAAATACTCACATGTGGCACGTAGATATCCAAGAAGAGACAGTCCTCCGACATGTCAGAGAACGTCACGTCCCACCCTGCACATCTAGGCTTCGGTGCGGAGGCGAGATACGGCGAGGATCCATTATTCTTTTTCGAGAGAACCGGTTTGGCGAACCGTAAGTTTCCGAGAGGTGGTTCTGCGTAAGGCACTCCTTCGAAACTTGCGTAAGGCACACCGTCAACAGACACCTTCTGCACGCCCTTGATCTGTCCCCAGGGGGCGTTTACTTCTGTCACTTGGAAACCAATACCTACACTTCTCTCTGTGAGGAGACAAAGACAGGGGACAACCAACAGAAAGGAGAAATGCGCCATGTCGATAGTGCGAACTCAAAACCTCTTTTCTTCTAGCCTGAAAGACAAACGAAGAAGCTCTTTGTCTGTCAAACAACAGCACTGCAACCAATCAACTTGTGTGCGATAATGAAGATTTAATCTTCGCTTATCCTTCTCCGATTTTGCACACTGGTCACCATTTATATAGCGAGGCTCTCCTGCTACGTCACTGAACTTTTCCCTGTTTTTCGCAGAGCATAAAAAAATGTGTGCTCTTGACCTGTCATACAACGTTTTTATCTACCAGAACCTCCTAAAACCCCTCGTCATTCTCTTTTTAAATCTATATTAAACCGACAGCGATGCACGCCTTCGTCGTTTTTCTGCTGACAATGTCAAACAATCATTAAATTCTATCCTTTCGCCGAGAGTAGAGTAAACAGTAAATGTTTTGTTTTTTTTAATTACAAAGAAAAAAGAGGGATGATTAAGGGGGACAGGATGAGATGTGATTTTGTCCAGGTCAAAGACGTCTTTATGTCTCAGCGAGGGCAAGTACTTGGTCAAGGACACCTTCATGTCTCAGCAGTAGCAATCGCTACTTCAGAATTACAAAGTTCTATCTGCTCAATACCTAGTTTCGAGAAATTTGACCCCAAAAAAATTACACAATAATTAGATCTATGTCAAGCTTTTTCGAATGTAATTCTTTGAATATCTTGATAAGGACTCCGAATCGTCTTATGATTTTGATAGAGCAGACAGGGCATTTGCTTTCTGACCTCATGATCTAATCTAAGTAACACAAAACGGCCAAAAATGTCAGAGAGAACTTTGTAATTCTTAGATAGCGAAGCGCTGAGCTGTTTCATTAGGCTGTGCTTTGAAATGAATTATAATTATGTGAAGGTATTTTTGTTTTTCTTTCTCCGTTTCTCGCTCAACGAGAACTCTAATGTTCATATTCCAATCTCTGAGGTCATGCATACCACTACAGCAGAAGAAGCTGGTTATTGGTTGCTGCTTATAAATCTAATAATATCATTTCTCTTGGCGCGATGACCTACGAACTTGATCAATGTGCGAACAACAGTCTGTGTCAGGTTAGAAAGTGCTGTCGAAATTGTCTAAGAACGCCATTCATTGTCGAGTAGAAAAGTGGTTGTTATAGACAGGTCAGATCTTGCACAGTGTCATTATACAGTCGTACCCTCTCCAACCGCCACCTGTATAAAGCATTTACCTTACAAACGGCATCTTCTCATTTTCTGTCTTGCGTTTTTTTGTGTTTTTTTAATGATAATGACACCTTATAAGATGGCCACCTTTCTAAGACGGCTATTTTTTTCATTGACAAAGGGTGCGCGTCTTAGTTTCGATTGTAACGTAACATAGAAACGCAAGGGGGAAATGGGGGGGGGGGGGTGCTTTTTGTACCGGTGATTGTCTAATACAGGTGGCCATTAGAGCAGTTTTGACTCTATCTTTATCGATCGTTTACCCGATTACATAATTATACATGGACTTAATTTCAACCATGGCATGAATTGACGAGCGCTGAAGTGCTCCAACTTCCTAAGACTAATAACGTAAAAAATAAATTAATTAATAATGATAATAATAATAACAATAATAGATAGAGATAGATAGATAGATAGATAGATAGATAGATAGATAGATAGATAGATAGATAGATAGCACTTGTATAGTGCAAATACCCGCTAAACAGCAAACTCTGTGAGTTTACAATCTATATTATTACCCTAGCAGACCTGATAGCATTCTGTTCACAATTTCAACTTCCTGGGAAGCACAAGTTGGCTACAAGCTAAAACACAAAAATACTGAATAGATCATTCGCTGTGTATGGCTTGGTACCCATTCCCACCTGGGTGAAGTGAGGAGAATGTGTGCAAAGTGCCTTTCTCAAGGATATTTCCCAAGGACATAACGTCCTGAGGCCCGACCCTCAGAACCCCCAGCCTCACGATTACGAATCCGACAGCCTAACAACTAGATTACCGACACCACGCCTGTTATAAATTACGTCTTGTTGAACAAAAAATGGCCGAACGAAGTAGAAGGAGCGCCTTGAAATAACCCAATCAACACACAAGTTCAAAAAAGCCCCATTCCACGGGTTTTTTAACATGCCCCATCCTCACTGTAAGAGGGAAAATTAAACATTTACACTGGCGGGATCAAATTCCGGATGTCCGAGTTGTTAGTTTAGTAAGAGTTTTATGGCGCTGGCAACTGCATAAGGTCATGCGAACGCGCATTTCCGGGTTGACAGTCGAAAACCATACACCAAGCATATTGAGTCACTGAGCCCTCAAATCTATCACGGATACCAGGAAAGTATTATTTCTATGTACTTACAAAAGGTGATTTATCTCAGGTATTGAAAGAACAAGAGTAATATTATATACACGCTAAGCGAATGTGTGTGGTTCAGCGCTCTCACAACGACATTAGATCCAATAGCGTTGATCCAGATTTTCGATGGTACCTTCTGTCTCTGATTTAACACAAATGCTGCAGTCAGACGATATTCAATTTTTTAGGGGGGCATGTGCAGTTATTGGTATCATCTGAAAGCCTATTCATTTGTCTTGCGTTTGGTGAAAAAAAAAATCATGTATTTAAAAAATAAAGTTCGAGATATTTACCATTGAAGGGGATGGCGATAGTCTGGTTTCAGAGGTAAAATTAGAGAGAAAATGACCGCCAAACTTTGGTGACTTCCAAGCTTGAGAGTCTTCGGGAACAGCAAATTTACATTTTTAGTGCCGTTAACCAACGTTTTCTTTTTTTCCCCGGAAAATTCACAAGAAATGTGTTTCTAAAAGGACAGAACAGGTGTTGAGCCAAAAAACAAGAATTCCATTTTTTTGAATTACCAAACCGGCGGGAAAATGCAGATATCTTCGATTTCATTATTTTGACCAGGGCCGGATTTCATTACGATGCCTTACAACACGGCAAGCCAGCACCCGACTACCTGTAGACATGAAACGAGCTCTCGACCAAATTTGTATAGCTGAATTTCGAAATGAGGTCTCAGCGAAAAGTTTACATTTTATTCCAAATGGCTTCAGACGTAACTGACTGGGAATCTGATGAAAGTGGTTCGTAAGTTGCTCGTAATATTATCTGTTTCATAATAATCATGGTGTAAATGTCAGGTGAAAGCAAATATGAAAAAACATGATACAATATGTTTTAAAAAACAAATTTTGTAAATTCTTAAAGACATGTCACTTTTTATGTATCTCGTATGTTTAAGAAGATTCTACTTAAATATTAAATGTAGCCGATTCTAACACAGAACCTTGTCAATGTCAAGTACCCTGGCAGCGTTATAACCAAAACTGCAGACTGCCCTGACGACTTCCACCAAAGACTTAAAAATGCATGAATCGCTTTTGTGAAATTAAAACCTATATATGGAATTAAAAGATCATTTCATTGAAAACGAAATTTAAAATGTAATATAACAATATTTTGGCCATATTGGAGTATGGTTCAGAGACACGGTAAGCAAACAAAACAATTCAACGAAAATTAAAAAGCTTCCAAACGAAGAACTATACTAGTAAAATGGAATTGATGTATAACAAATAATGACGTGTCGGAAAGAGATGGAATTGAAGATATCAACACAACCATAAAAAGGAGAAGATGGGGATATCTAAGACATGTTCTCAGAATGCCGAAGAAGACAAGAGTGCCCTATTAGACATGGTATGATTGATTGATTTATTGATTGAGTAGGTGTTTTACGGCACTATCGACTCATCCGACATGGTATTGGAAACCAACTAGAAAAAGAAAACGAAGAAGACCACCTTGAATCTATAGAGGCACAATAAGGGATGAGACAATCACTCACGGCCTAGATTTGTCGAAATTGGAGGATGTCGCCACGGACATGCAAGCGTTGTGTCGACTGTTCTCCGCCTTATGTACCCGGCGTATAGGGAGAGAGTATGCAAGTTAATATTCCAACTCAGATTCTGTTGAAGTCCTTACAACATGATCGCGGAGAGACGTGTTGAGTTGACAAGGAACCTATTTCCATGATGTCATCACTAAAAATACTCGATAAAAAGTAATACTGTAGAACATGGCTACAGCAGGACTTTTAGTTCCAGAAAAAAATCCCGCTGTAGGCAAGTTCTCGCTATATAGGAATGCAAAGGGGAATTACCGAAAAATCATATACTACACGCTTTCCTCTTCTTTTTCTGTCTTTTTAGCCTAGCCTAGACCTAGGGTTATGGCACATCACTTTTCGAGTGGCTCACGTAATGCATCTCTCCGTACTATCTTCTCTCTGCCGCCTGCTCCACCTCACAAGACTGGCCAATCACAACGCGCACCGCTGACTGCCTGTTTGGAGCCAACCTATATCATCCCCAGTAGCACACACCCCATCCCCCTCTTCCCCCAGCTAGAGCTCGCTCGATCTTTCCCGCTGTAACCAAGTTCGGGTCTTTCCTTGCCCCGTTTAACCCAAGCACAGTTAATTGAGTTTACATAGAAAAAAAGGGGATTCCGGTAAGGTCCCGCTGTAGGGATGGTCCCGCTGCCAGGGGTGCCGCGAAAGTCATATTCTGCTGTATCAAATAAACCACCATCCCCCTTATCTTTTTTCCACCAACTCCAAAGTGGGTTTGAGTAACGGAATATAGATCTATTGGCTGCACTGCTCGCCAGTAGTACGCGCAACTCTTGAAACGGTAGACTAGCACATTATCGAAATAATAACTGTTCTGCTCACAAATTGAAGTGAATTTTGAATTCGGGTTATGCATTATTGTCGCTCTTCCTCCTCTTCTCCGTTATTTTTTTCTTTTTCTCACGACCTCACTAAGTGTTCTGCCCGCGAAACGATTTATTCGATCATCGATACTGTATCATTAAAATAAAAAGAAACCGAATAGAATGTTTAACAATCTTATGACACAGGGCTTTCTTTAAGAAAACGTATTCTGTGTGACAGAGGACATCCTTGTTCCTTCACCTTGTTAAATTTTGCGGATCATGACACGGATATT